AACAAGGACAGTGTGGCCCCACCAGGTGGTAAATATTTAGACGCACGAATGGGTAGGAGGTGCGTAGCCCGGGGCCTGTGGGAGGTGCCCACAGAATATTGCATGTCAGTAGCAATGTGAGCAAGTGGGAGCTCCAGATGAGCCTTCAGAGACTCCGGTAGGATCTTTGTCCTTGGGACTCATAACCCAGTGGAGGTAGAGAGGGCATGGCTGGAACAAAACCCTGCTGTGTTTAGCTCCGGCAGTGAGAGGGGAAGTGTGTAGGGACAGCACTTACAGTTTCTTTTTTTTTGAGACGTTTCTGCTATAGGGCGCATGCGCTCGCCAGACAGACAGAGAGAGACATAGAGATAGAGAGCGAGAAATCATCCCCCACGGGCAATGGTCACGCCGCAATCCCTTTTCCTCCATTCTCCTCTCGGGATCTTGGGCACGCACGCACACGTGCCCGGCGTGAGTTTTAAATCACCGGGTCTGGGACGCGAACCGTGGTCGACTATGTAGGAGTCCAGTGACATAGCCATTACGCTAACTGCTGGTTCCCTACAGTTTCTTACTAATGGACTGGACTTGCTTTCCTTGGGAAAAAGTGTGCACTTGGCTTTCTCTCTCTCTCGTTCACTCGCTCTCCTCCCTTAAATCGGAATTGCCAGAGGGCACATGTGCTTGCTTTCCTTGGGAAAAAGCGTGCACTTGGCTTTCTCTCTCTCTCATTCGCTCGCTCTCGGCCCTTAAATCGGAATTGCCAGAGGGCACATGTGCTCATTAGAGAGAGACTGGGGGGGGCGAGCCATACCTCCTTACCACCATGGGGGACGGTCATGCCTCAGTCCCCTCTCTATTTCTCTCTCTTTTCAGGACTTGGGGCACACACACACCTGTATGCCCAGTGAGGCCAGGATTTGAACTATTGGGGTGTTGGAAAAGTCAGGTTGTGTTGTTTTCTATGCAAACATGCGTCATGACTTTTCTGCCCACCCAGTGCAGTTAGTCGTGTCGGATCCAGCTCCTGAACCACTAGGCTATGGGACTGGCCTGCACGTTGGCCTTTTATCTACAGAGAGCTTTTTGCTGTAGGTCACATGTGCTCATCAGAGAGACAGAAAGACAGAAAATGAGAAATCATCCCCCAGCGGGGATGACCATACCACAGTCCCTTCTCCTTCAGTGTCCTCTTGGGATTTGGGGCACACATGCACACGCTCCCGGCATGAGTCCCAGGGCTGGGACTGGAACTGTGGTCGGCCATGTGGGAGCCCAGCGCCTTAACCACCACGCCACCTGCTGGTCCCACACTTTGCTCTTACAGGTTTCCTGTAATGGCATTTGGATCCTGAGACAAGGACAACAGGAGCCTAAATATCCACTGGATTTGGTCATTCGCTGAAACTCCCCACAGCCTACACCTCTGTTGCCAGCCCGCCAGACAGCAGCTCCGTTGGCTGCGTTAGCCATGGTTAGCCAGAGCCCATCTGCTGGGGGCCTGGACCGGCAGACCTTTGTGGTCACTGTGGCGCTGTGTAACTTGAGCGGGTCTCCAGGCTTTCTCCTGAGAAGTCACTTGGATGTGACAGAGTCTCGGGAGCTGTTCGTATATGTGCACCCACACCGATCTTCGACGGCAGCCGGCTCCATGTGCTGGCCTTGGTGGGGTGGGGCACAGGAATGGACAGTGAGAATGGCAGGAGAGGTAGAGCAGGAGCGGGGTGGTGTGGGCAAGGAAGGGGAGGGACAGGAAAGGTGGATGTGAGCAAGGAGAAGAAGAGCACGCTCAGTCTTTTCCTCTGTGTGAGGTGGCCATGGAGCTAGGGCTTCTGCTCCACCACCCTCAGGAGGCGAGGGGGAGCGGCTGGAGCCTTAAGGGAAGCGTTTGTTAATTCATGTGACAGATAATTATTGAGCACTTACTGGGCGGGAGGTATCATAGAAGCTTTAAGGGATATACAGATGGCTAAGGCGGGGTCCCATCCCTCCAGCCCCGAGCCTAGTCGGGCAGGTGATGGGCCTTGCTTTCTTGGCAGCTTATTAAGGATGATTAAAGCAAGTTCTCTGAAAACCACTGCTTGGAATGCTCGAGGATGGGTTCAGAAGAGTGTGAAATTCGAGAGTCAGGTCATAGGAAGAGCAGAATGCTGTCGTCTGGAGCGGGGCTGGAAGTTGGACTGGGTGATGGGAGAGGCAGGCAATTGCACTAGGCAGTGAGGTTGTAACTCAGTTATGAACCTTAATCTGCAGGGGTGTAGTGGTCAGGAGGGAGAGAAGAGTTTCTCCTAGCTTTGTTACTTTTTCCCCTTCTTACATAGCTATCACAAAGTAGTTACAAAGTGGTCAGTAAAGAGTAACTTAAAAGAGTTACTGAAAGGTTCTTTATCTCTGGAATTCTATGATACTTAAGTCACTGTCCTACTGCATCTAAGAACTGTTCTGTAAAAACTTGGAAACTGTTTTTGCAGTCTCTCCAACACTGTCCCGTAACGGCATGAATTTAACTTTCCTATGACATCCATGCAATGGCAGTTGGGGCCTTTCCTTGGGTATCCACGTGTGTTACCAGCTGGGGGCATACGACCCGCGCCTCGTGAGTGTGCCCCTCGGCAGGCTGGTAAACGCAGTCGTGTTAGGTTCTGCGCCGCCGCGTCGAGGCGCTAGTGGAGATAAACGCCTTCTTGTATACTCGGTGGTGCGGACCTTTGACCCAGAGGAATTGCTGGCTCATCTCCAGTGTTCATTTAGATTTGACCTTGGTTTCTCTTCAGTAATTATCAGTCCGTGAGAGAGTGCAGAGAGGCTTCGAGGTGATGCCTCAGTTCCCCTTTTCAAAGCAGCCTGATAGATGGCTCTCAGTGCCCAGTGGGGTCTGAGGAAGGTACTGGGCCTGCACATTAGCGAGGGCTCCTCCTTGGCCTCTTGGCTTGGAGGAGATGGTAGACTGGGACAGACACCTGTGAAGTATATGCTGATGATCGCTTTTCCCCAGAGACGTCCTCAGAGCCCAGTGTTACAAGATTAGCTGGAAAAGGAGGAGGCTCTGGCAGTGGGCGGGGGTGCCCCCAGAGCTGCCTGGCCCAAGGGCGGGTTTATGGAGCGGTGCCTTCAGCTCGGTGGGTGGTTTGCAGGGTGCATGTCGTGCTCCTCCCCAGGGTTTTCTGTTCCTGACTTTCCACCCTGCCTGTGCTTTCCCCAAGTTCAGCCTTTAGGACCCTCTTCCCTTCCCGTCTTCTCTCTCCCCCAACACCTCCATTTCCCGCCACATTTCCTTCCTTAAGTAGGCTGTCGTTCCTCCTCTCCACTCTTCCCATCTCTCCCTTCTCCTTTTGCCTGCCTCTAAAACCCACAGCAAAGTCTGGTCTGCCTGGCGCCTGTCAGAGCGACTCAGCCAGTGGACAGGGCTTGGGGTGTCTAATGGCCTCACAGACTGAAGAAGTGCCTCCATTCACCACTTTTTTTTAAAGGAGGTTTTTGCCTTAGAGAGTGTGTGCTCGCTGGAGAGAGACAGAGACAGAAGGAAAGTGAGAAATCATTTCCTAGGGAGAGGGCCACACTGCAATCCCTTTACCTCCCGGGATCTTGGGCATGCATGCATATGCACCCAGCATGAACTTCAGTCACCAAGTCCGGACTTGAACCACAGTCGGCCACGTGGGAGTCCTGTGATGTAACCGCTATGCCATCTGCTGGCCCATCTACGCATTTTTAATATACAGGTCACTGAGTCATAGGAAAAAACAGTCAACGTAACTTGCTTTAAAAAAGAATTATTTAATAATTTTATTTATTGCTCTTTTAATTTGACCAGAGAAAGACAGAGAGAGAAAGGGAAAATGAGAAAGCAAGCCACCAGGCCCAGGACTAGAACTGTCGTCAGCCATGTGGGAGTCCAGCACCATAACCACCATACCACCTGCTGGCCTGTAACTTTTGTTTTATAAAGAATGAAGAATACAGAGTGATTCTGCCTCCCATTTTTATTTTAAATTTTTTCTTCTTTATTCGTGATAGAGCATGTTCACATGTGAATGAGAGACAGAGAGAGGAGGGAGAGATAGAGAGATGAACCTCCTCTACAGGGTCCATGACAACATGATCCTCTCCCTCCAGTCCTCCAGCTTGTTGGATCCTGGGGATCGTGTCTTCAGTTTTAAAAATTAAGATCAAGAGGGGCTAGCAGGTGACAGTTAAGGCCGCTGGACTCCCGCATGGCTGACTGTGTTTCAAAGCAGGTGACAGTTAAGGGCGCTGGACTCCCCCCGCATGGCTGACTGTGGTTCAAGTCCTGGACTTGGTGGTGTGCTTTCTCACTTTCCCTCCCTTGCTCTGTCTCTCTCTGTTCAAAACAAGAAATAATAATAACCAATAAAATTAAATAAAATAGTTCTTTAAAAAAATTTAAGATCAGGAAATGGAAAAATTGAATAGTATCAAAGGTGTTCTTACTCTGCTCTGTGGAAAGTTGATGGAAGAAGAAAGAATAACTCATAGGCAGGGAAAAGAAGGGTGAGGCAACTAAATGCTTACTAACCCTCAGAAGAAGGCTTATTTAGTAACACAATGCTTAAATGGGATTTTTTTTTTTTTTTAGAGAGAGACTTTTGCTATAGGGTGTTTGCGCTTGCCAGAGAGACAGAAAGTGAGAAATCACCCCCTGGGGGCGCACACCCCAATCCCTTCTCATCTATTCTCCTCTCAGGATTTTGGGCATGCATGCACACACACACATGCCCAGTGTGAATTTCAAGCTGTCAGATCCAGGACTTGAACCACGGTTGACTCTATGAAAGTCCAACGATGTAATCATTATACCATCTGCTGATCCCAAGTGAAATTTTTAGATATGACAGAAATTAAAAAGAACTAGACTTTAGTACATTTAATATTTTATTTCCTACGTAAAAAAATTTTAAAATAATTTATTTAACTTTATTTACTTATTTATTTTAATTTGACCAGAGAGGGACAGAGTGAGAGAGGGAGAGGGAACATGTGAAAGCAAGCCACCAGGTCTGTTGCTGTCCAGCGTCCTTAACCACCACGCCACCTGCTGGCCCCCTATATAAAATTTTAATACACATACTCTACTTGCTGCTTTGAAAAGTTGGTTAGGAGACCCTATTAATTAATTAATAATTTGCTATTGGGTGCCTGTACTTGCCAGAGAGAAAGAAAGAAGGAGAGTGAGCTCCTGCCCCATGGACTGTGGCCACACCACAATCCCTTCTCTTCCATCCTCCTTTTGGGATTTTGGTCATGCACACACACACACACACACACGTACTGGCATATTTTCAAGCTGCTGGATCCGGGCCTTGAACTGCATAGTCAGCAATGTGGAATCTAGCACTTTAACCACCATGCCATATGCTGGCCCAGGAGACCTTATTTTGGAGACAACAGTGTCATCTTGTTTTGTCAAATAACATCCTGAGGCCTTTTAAAATCTTACTTCTGAGAGCTTTTAAAGCCTCGTGTTCTGTCACTGGGGCACAGCCAAGAGACAACTTGATATTTGTACAGAAGGAGAAGAAAACGGGAAGTTCTCTGTGGCTGGCCGGGCACAGCTGCTGAGTCCTTCACTCACCCACAGGCGCAGAGAAGGTTTTCTTAGCATGTGGAGTGGATGCCCTGCATGGTTTACCTGGTACCGTCTCGTTCCCCTCCTGCTTTCCTTGTAGGTGGTTAGCAGCAGTCAGATTGTTAGTTCTGTTCTGTACTAGTCTGAGTCTTATTTTAATTTTTTTTTATTTTATTGTATAGTTTTGCTATAGAGCGTATGTGTTTACTGGAGAGAGACATAAGGAGAGAGAGGGAAAGTAAGAAATGACTGTGTGTGTGCAGGGCAGGGCTGTCCACGCCACGATCCTCCATCTCCTGTCTGGATCTTGGGCATGCATAGACGCATACCAGGTCCAGGACTTGAACTGGACATATGTCCGTGTGGGATCTAGTCGCCTTAACCTCCATGCCACTTGCTGACCTATCCGGACTGTATTTTACGAAATGGTTTTTGGAGCTGCTGACACACTTCGGCACGCCCAGGTCTGCCTTGGGGTCCGTAAGTGTGATACCTGCGTTACTCACAATGACACTAACGTTTGGTGGTGGCTTTCATTTCTAGTGCTGGCCAGGAGAGCTGTGCAGGAGTACATCATTACCTCCATCAAAGATGTGCTGAGGATGCACTTCAACCGTGCGGTGGAGCTGAAGGTGAGTCCCTGCAGTCCCAAATCTGATGTCTGACTCTACGGGGCTGACGTCAAAGCCCAGGATGGGGCAGGTCATGGTAGTAGGCCTCGTACTCCTTCCTCTCTCCCCTCCCTCCTCCTGGTTCGCTCCTCCTCTGGATTGCCACCATAATGCCACTTTCCGCTTTCTCAGGGAAGCCTTGCCTGCCCCAGACAAGGTCAGGTGGAGCCCATCATGGGTTGGAGAGGGGATGGGACATGTCAGCAGAGTTGGAACAAAGGGGTTCTCTTTCCAAAGGCAGCCGAGTGTGGGGTGGCAAGCGTAACGATTTGCTTCCTGGTTTAAAGTTCGAAACTTGGACTGAAGACTAAGATGTTAGAGTGAGTACGTTGGCATCTTCCTGTACGCCAGTGGGTTCCAGGTCTCTGGTACTGGACTCTTCTGGTGCTGCCCACCCTCGATGCGGTCAGAAAGCCGTGCTCCTGCAGAGCCGAGGCATCCAAAGCAGAGCCACAGGCCCCGGTGAGAAATGGCTCTCCTGAATGGAGATGAGCTCTAAGTGTAAAATACACACCAGATCACAAAGACACAGCGAAACAAGGAATGCTAACCAGCTCATGAATAACTTTTTGTATGGATGTATGTTAGAATGACATTTTAGATTTATTGGGTTAAGTAAAATATGCTTAACATTAATTCCACCCATTTCTTTTTATAGTTTTTAATATATCTATAAGACATTTTAAAATGGCATCCATGGCTTCCTGTTTATCTTGGACAGTGCTACTCAATAAAATGTTCGCTCTCTATATGGTTTAAATAGAACAGACACCTTGACTTCTCCATGAGTCATTATGCAGTTTGTTTTACTGTCTCTTCTTATTTCCTTATTGCTTGCCATTGTAATTTTGTACAAAGGCTGGCAGAACATGAGACAGAGAGCTAAGACAGAGTTGTGATGATCTGTGATGCACTATCCATTTATTTAAAACTTTCTGTTAACTTTCCCCCTTTATTGATGATATAACATGTGCACTTGCACAAAGGCTGGGAGAAGAGAGAGAGAGGAGGAGAGAAAGAGAAAGGAAGAGACACACAGAGAGAAGCACCCTGAGTGAGGCCTGGTCACAGTGCAGTCCTTTTTCCCTGCATTTCTCCATTCCATCGGGATCCTGGGCATGTGTGTGCACCTGCTATTTAAGCTGCCAGGGCTGGGACACGAACCCTAGCTGGCCATGTGGACTCTGGCTTCCTCTGCCCAGCATTTAACTTCTGTGCTACAGGGCCATTCTCCTATTAATTTTTTTTAACATTGTTTACTTTATTATTTTTTAACATAATTTCCTTTCAGTTTGAATTGTCTTTCGTACTTTTTATTTCCCTAGGTGTATGAACTATTCACTGACTTCACTTTTCTGGTAACATCTGGCCCTTTTGTTTACACGGCAATATCAGTCATAAATGTACTTGTAAATAGTAAACTGGTGCGGGACCAAACTCCTTTAATCCTGTCCGTGAAGCCTTCTTTCCATGTGCCTGAGTCCAGGTTTCAAGTTCAAACAGGTGAGACAACTGAGCGTCCTTGTTTTGATTTGTAAATACAATTTTGATTCTCAAAACATTTTTTTTTATTAGGAAAGAATCATTTAAAAATATATGACTTATAGTTTAGGAACTCTATGGAAAATTCAAGCATATACAGACATACACAGAATAGCTTAATGACCCTCTGTTGTGGTCTGTTTTCTGCTACTATAACAATACCTCAGGCTGAGTAATGAACAATGAATATTTATTTGTCGTGGTTCTGGAGGCCAGGAAGTCCAAGCACACGGTGCCCGGAAAGACCTGTGTGATGTCATTCCATGAGGGAAGACAGAAGGGCGGCAAGTGCGTGAGACAGGGAGAGAGGTGGAAGCTTATCCTGTATCAGGAGCTCATCCCTCATGCCAGAAGCTTGATAAGGAACTTGTTCCTGCAGTAAGGGCGTTCATTCATTCAGAGGGCGGCGCCCTTATGATCCAGTCACCTCTTAGAGACCCTGCCTCTTGACACCATTGAGCTGGCAATTAAATTTCAACATACACTTTGGGGAAACACTCAAAGAATAGCTCCCCCCAAACATACATACCCATCATACCACTTTGATGGCTGTGATTATCTGTGAAGCTCCTAGCCAGTCCTGTCACCTCTGCACTCCCGTCTGCTTCCCCTCCTCTCACATCATTTTGAAGTAAATCTCGGGGATTTCATCATCTCACCCCTAAATATGCCTCTGAGAGATAACTACTGTTAAAAATATGTATGTACACGTGTGCATATACATGTATACACACACATGCACACACATATATACAGAGCCACCATAGCATCACACTTCCTGAAATTAACAACAATTTCATAATATGATGTGTAGCTCTTCATTATAAACAGTTTCAAACATATAGAGAAACAGAGAGAATAACACTTTTAAGGCCACATATGCCCATCACCAAGCTTAAAAATTGACGAACACTTTACCGATTTTTTCTCATCTGTCCCTCGTGAACATTTTTGATGGTGCTATTGCCAGAGAGTGCTTATGCTCCCCAGAGAGAGGAGGAGAAAACAACCCCCAGTGGCGTATGATCATGCCACAATCCCTCTTCCGTTTCTCCATCCAGTTGGGATTTGTGGTGTGTACATGTACACACTTGGTGTGTTTCTCAAGCCACTGGGACTGAGACTCAAACCATGGTTGGCCATGTGGGATCTGGCTTCCCTTAACCACTAGGCCAGCCCAAACTGTTTTAAAGTAATGTTAGAGGTCTTGTCATTTTACCTGCAAATACGTAAGAAGTCATCTCTAATGTATTTGCTTATATTTGAAATGTTTCAGTGAGTTGTGTCTTCTGATGCACAAATTGTTATCCTAGATTATTTCCTTTTTTTTTTTTTTTTTTTTAAATTTTGCTATAGGGCACTCGCTGGAGAAAGACAGAGTGGGAGAGAGAGAAGGAAAGTGAGAGATTGCTCCCCAGGGAGTTTTCAGCACTACAGTTCCTTCTCCTCCATTCTCCTCCTGGGATTTTGGCACGTGCACATGCACTCAGGATGTTTTTCAAACCATCGGGTCCAGGACTGTAAGTTGACCATGTAGGATCCGGCCGCTTTAACCCTCACACCACCTGCTGGCCTTACTTATTTATTTATATTTTCATTTTTAAATTATACTGGTCACCTTCACGGTGCATACATTTACCTGGGGCAAAGTTGGCTTTCTCCATTTCCATAAGATGATGCACAGAATAATAATATCATGGTACTTAATCCCATGCTAGGGATGAATTAAGATTTAGATGTTTTTTTTTTTTTTCCTCTCTTCATTCCTTACTACTCAAGAGGCACCTTGCTCATTGCTGTCCTCCTTTTCAGTGCTTCAGTTTGTGCCCCCGAGTGTGGATACTGGCTTCTGCAACTTCACCCAGCGCATCGAGAAAGGCCTGACGACAGCTCTCTTCGAAGCGAGAAAACACCACCAGGGGACGTATAACCTCACGGTGCAGGTGAGAACAGCACTGCCCGCAGAGCTGGGCGCGCCGTCCTTTCGAGGGAGGTCGCCTCACAACGTGTCATTTAAGGCATGCTTGACTCTCACTCTCCCGTGGAGGAAAGCCAGTTCACACGGGGCAGGGCTGATCTCTTTTGGTGGCACAGAGTCTACGCGGCAGGAGTGGGCCAGGCATCTTTGAAGATGCGGGGAGCTGATTACCAGGGAGCTCGGATCTGGTGAGCTGAAGAGAGATGACCATCTGCAGGAAATGAAAGGATGGTCTAAATAGGAGTGGTATCCACCTACATACCCCATGTGGGGGTGCCTAAATATACTGGGGCTTCGTGTCATGGGCTGCCCGGGGGTGCTTCCCTCTGCACACGGACAAGGCAGCGCCTCATCAGAGAACTGGCTGTACGTATTGAATGGAAGCTGATGCTTTTATAGTTCTTTGATTTTACCCCCCTCTGTATTCTTTGTTCTGTTTTCTGAAATAGATGGTAAGTGGATTCTGGATCCATTTAACACTCCTGGATCCACTGCCCGTGTTTCTTATTTTTCCTTATATTTTCCATGTCTTCTAAAAAATTCTCTCCTTAGGGACCAGCTGTTGGCATAATGGCTATGTCACTGGACTCCCATGCAGTCTACCACAGTTCGAGTCCCAGACACTGTGGCTTAAACTCCTTCTGAGCACGTGTGCGTGTGTCCCCGGGATCCTGAGAGGAGAATGGAGGAGGAGGGTTTGCAGCGTGGCCATCCCCCCCTGGGGGGTGATTTCTCACCTTCTGTCTCTCCCTGTCTTTCTGGCGAGCATACACACCTTATAGCAAAAACCCTCTCCAAGAATAAATAAATAAATAAATTAAAAAAAAAAGAATTCTCTATTTTTGCAGGTGTTTGTAAACTTTTTCCTCCAAGTCATTTAGCTTTCTCTCTATTTTTACAGGTTTTTCTAAACTTTTTCCTCCAAGTCATTTAGCTTTCAGCTGGGTCCATTATGTTATTGGATCTCTCTGCTGAACTTCTTTAACGATGACCTCCCCCCACTGTTCTCTGCTGCTTTTTCATTGCCACCCTGCCTGTGATGATGCAGGGTCATTTTGAACAATAATGTGGTATTACCTTGAAAATCTCTGAGGACCTGAGTTCCTTTTTTTTTCTTTTTCCTTTTTTTTTTTTGGAGAGGTTTTTGCTATCATCTATCTAATTTGGGTTTTTTGAATATTTTATGTGGAACCGGACTAACCTACCAAAGGAATATACAATCTAGGACTTCATTCTGTCCTCAATAACATTCAAAATGAAAGTGGTAGGAAAAATAGAAGAGATCTTACAAAGACGATTTTAGACAAAAATAACACAAAGCACACTTGGATACAGGTGATAAAAATGTGAAAATGGATGGTGTGAGTTGGTAATTTACATTTTTTAAAAAAAAATTGGAAGAAAACAAAAGAAGGGACCAGCAGATTGGCCTAATGGTTACATTGCTGGACTCCCACATGGCCAACCACGGTTCGAGTTCTGGACCCAGAGGCTTGGAGGAGAAGGGATTGTGGAGTGGACATATCCCCAAGGGGTGATTTCTTCGCTCTTTCTCTCTCTTTTCAATAATTACTTTATTTAACTTTATTTATTAAATTTGACCAAAGAGGTACAGAGAGAGAGAGAGAGAGAGAGAGAAGGAGTAAGAGTGAGAGTGAGAAAGCAAGCCACCAGGTCAGGAACTCAGACTGTGGCCGGCCATGTGGGAGTCCAGCTCCTTAACCACCATGCTACCTGCTGGCCCCCTGGGGGGTGATTTCTTGCTTTCTTTCTCTCTCTGGCTCTCTGGCAAGCGAGTGAATGTGCCCTATGGCAAAAGTCTCTCAAAAAAAAAAAAAAAAAAAAGAAAAGAAAAGAAAAAAAGAAGAAAGAAAGAAAAGCTAGTTGAAAATAATGGTCCTCTGTTTCCCCAGTTATCTCTGCCTTCTCTGTGGCCATAGGTCGCTCTGTGCATTGCTGTTGGTCCTTTGCCGTTTGGCTGTTGGAGTTTTATAAATGTCTCGAGGCCATTGGCTGGTGTTTGGGAATGAGAAACCAGGTGGAGATCTTGGTAGCTTGTCCTTCAGCTGTCTCCCAGGGGGCGACCCCGCTGGAACACTGGGTACGGGGCAGGGTGTGTTGGCACAGGCTTCTCTCCCCTCAGTGTGTGCTCAGAGACGGGCAGACTGGGGCTCCTCGCCTCGGTGTGGAGCACTCGCGTGTGATTGTCATGGCAGAGCTGCGTCTTCTCTTTTCTTCCCTTCGTCTCTGTGCCCTGAGGTGCATTGGAGTTATCTCTGTCTTTGCCCACCTTCTGCCTTGGGTCCACACGGGCAGGGGCTGTTTTCTCAGGAGCAGTTCTCGGGGCCCTTGTGGGTGAAGACGTGCCTCTGTGTTGAGCTGGGGGTGGCTGTTAGAAAGGGGCGGGTGGCGATGGACTCGCCCTTTGGCACGCGGTCTTTCAGCCATTACACCTTGACCTCCCTGTCCACGCCTGCTCTTCGCCTCCTTTCCTGGTGGTCGGTACCCTCGGGGAGAGGGCTCTGCTGTGGGCTGTTCCCAAGTAGCTTTGGGCTTTAGTCCCCTGAGCTCTGGCTTATGTCAACATGACCCTGTCCTTTCTCCGTCTTCCAGAAGTTTGACAGACCCTCTGCTTCTCTTCCATCCTCAGTGCTGTTGTAATCTGTTTCCTTTTGCTCAGTGTATTGTTGTTTTAGTGGGATTTGGGGTGCAAAGGGAAAGGGGGAAGGACTATAAGTGTGTGTACTCAGTTCATCACTTAATGTAAAAGCCATTTTCAGTAAATTGAGCATCTTACGTCTTATAAAGGGAATCAGGGTGGAAAGCCGGTTACTCTCCTTTAAAACCTTTTGCCTCCTGTGTTAGTTTGTTTTTCTGCTGCTATTACTGAATACCAGAGACTGGGTAGTTCATAAAGAATTAAGTTTTGCTCGGCTTTGGATTCTGGAGGTCTAAGATCGAGGGGCCACACCTGCTGAGGGTCATCTTCTGGGGACTCTACAGTGTCCGGAAGTGGTGGAGGGCATTGCATGGGGGGAGAGTGAGAGTGTGGCAGGGGTGCTCTTCCTGCCTGGCAGAGCTGCGTCTTCTCTTTTCTTCCCTTCGTCTCTGTGCCCTGAGGTGCATTGGAGTTATCTCTGTCTTTGCCCACCTTCTGCCTTGGGTCCACACGGGCAGGGGCTGTTTTCTCAGGAGCAGTTCTCGGGGCCCTTGTGGGTGAAGACGTGCCTCTGTGTTGAGCTGGGGGTGGCTGTTAGAAAGGGGCGGGTGGCGATGGACTCGCCCTTTGGCACGCGGTCTTTCAGCCATTACACCTTGACCTCCCTGTCCACGCCTGCTCTTCGCCTCCTTTCCTGGTGGTCGGTACCCTCGGGGAGAGGGCTCTGCTGTGGGCTGTTCCCAAGTAGCTTTGGGCTTTAGTCCCCTGAGCTCTGGCTTATGTCAACATGACCCTGTCCTTTCTCCGTCTTCCAGAAGTTTGACAGACCCTCTGCTTCTCTTCCATCCTCAGTGCTGTTGTAATCTGTTTCCTTTTGCTCAGTGTATTGTTGTTTTAGTGGGATTTGGGGTGCAAAGGGAAAGGGGGAAGGACTATAAGTGTGTGTACTCAGTTCATCACTTAATGTAAAAGCCATTTTCAGTAAATTGAGCATCTTACGTCTTATAAAGGGAATCAGGGTGGAAAGCCGGTTACTCTCCTTTAAAACCTTTTGCCTCCTGTGTTAGTTTGTTTTTCTGCTGCTATTACTGAATACCAGAGACTGGGTAGTTCATAAAGAATTAAGTTTTGCTCGGCTTTGGATTCTGGAGGTCTAAGATCGAGGGGCCACACCTGCTGAGGGTCATCTTCTGGGGACTCTACAGTGTCCGGAAGTGGTGGAGGGCATTGCATGGGGGGAGAGTGAGAGTGTGGCAGCTGTGCTCTCCCTGCCTGTCCTTATAAAGCCACCAGTACTCAGGCACGGGAGCCCCATCCTGATGACTTTATCTAACCCTCATTCCCTCCCAAAGGCCCACCTCTTATACCATAGTTGGATTAAGTTTAATTTTTTAACCGCTTGATAGCATCATGATAGCAACTCAGTTTTTTTCTTTAATTGCCAGAGGGTACATGTGCTTGCAGGGGAGGTGGGGGGAGGGAGGTGGAGAAAGCACCTGCAGATGGGCGTGGTCATACTGCATTCCCATCTTCTCCATTTCTCTGTCTCCTCAGGATTTGGGGCATGCATACACATGTGCCTAGTGTGTTTTCCAGGCTGCTGGGGGCTGACTTAAACCATGGTTGGCCACAAAGGATCCAGCTCTGTTAACCACTAGGCCAGTCCAGCAACTACATTTCAACCCATGAAGTATGAGGGGCACATTCAGATTACACCTCCTTCTGAAGAATCAGTGAGGGAACTTGTGAGCGAGGAATCACAGTCAAGCTTTCAGCTCACTATTTTAGCTTGTTTTAGAAGCTTGTTCTGACCCCTTTCTTTCAGATCTTGAATATCACTGTGGGCTCTTCAAGGATGGCTCCTCGGCGGGGCCCAGTGAATATCATCTTTGCCGTGAAAAGTGCACAAGGATTTGTGAATGGGTCAGAAGTGAGCGAGCTGCTCAGGAACCTGAGTGTGGTGGAGTTCAGCTTCTACCTGGGGTACCCGGTGTTGCAGATCGCAGAGCGTGAGTACCGCACCCTCCAGAGTGCTAGGGAAGTGGCTGTGGGCATGTTTACTGGTGGATCTCTTTTAAGCAATTAAAAAAAATTTTTTTAATTTAAAAGGTTTTTTTAGGGGCTGGCAGGTGGCGTGTTGGTTAAGGGCACTGGACTTCCACGTGGCCGATCATGGTTTGAGTCCTGGGCCTGGTGGCTTGCTTTCTCACTTTGCCCCTCTCTCTCTCTCACTCTGTCCCCCTCCGGTCAAATTTTAGAGCAGTTTTAGGTTGCTCCCAGCATTGGCTGGAAGGTATAGCACTTCCCCGTATACTCCCTGCCTCCACACATGCCTCACCTGTCCTGTCCACACCTCCTACCAACCTGGTCCATTTGTTACAGTCCACGAACCTACACTGACACCTCGTCATCACTGTTACTGGAGTCCCTCGCTCAAGGCCACTCTGGGCACCATGCATTCTGTAGCTTTGGGTAAATGAGTAACGACATGTACCCACAGTTGTAATAGCATGTGGAGTGTTTTCCCTGGGGCCTCTTTTTTTCCAAGTAAAATATTTGACTGAACTTCACAGAATAAGCCAGATACCTGGAGCTTCTCAGATCCAAGCCAGAATGGGCCTCCAGATCCCTCCTCATCCACCACACCTCATTTTACCACTCTGTTTTAGAGTATCGGGGCACTATTGAAAAACATTCCAAGGCCCAGCCACAGTGGCTCAGGCAGGAGGGGTGCTGCCGTGTGATGTTGGAGGCCACCTGGGAAGACTCCGACTTCACAGCCTGGGTCTCCTTGAGCACCCCAGGTGTACTCAAGGGTGTGCTCGTGATCCTGGTGGACTGAGGGTATGGGGTTTACAGCATGAAGATCCTGCCGAGTCCCCACTCCTCCAAGAAAGGAAATAATTCTTTTGTTTTGCCATACGGTTTGTGTGCTCACCGGAGAGAGAGAGGGAAAGTGAGAAGTCACCCCCTGGGGGAATGGCCACACCACAATCCCTTCTTCTGCATTCTCCTCTCGGGATTTTGGCACCCTGCACACCCGCCTGGTGGCGTACTTTCCAAGCTGTCGGGACTGAGGCTTGCACCACAGTCAGCCATGTGGGTTCAGTGCTTCAACCACACCACCTGGTGGCCCCAGGAAATAAATATTCTAAAAATAAATGGCAGTTCTGGAAGAGGTGACACTCTAGGGGTGGAGAAGAGGTCTGTGTCTGTCAGAGCTTACGGGCTGGGAGGCTCTCTGGGGCAGGGCGGAGGATGACGAAACCCTTCTGCCTTCCCTCTCTGGTGGTGGTGACGTGACTCTGTGCATTTATCAATGCCCACAATGCTGCACCCAAAAGAGTGAGTTTTACTGTGTGTACGTTTTAAAATTAAAAATAATAATAAATGAAAACATCAAAACCTCTCTTCCCAGCTGCAAATGAAGGCTGTGGGAGAGGAAAAGGGAACATTTACTTCAAAAATGGTATATTCCAGGGCTAAAGACAGGCCAAAAAAAAAAATCAAAATATTTTTCAAAACAGAACAGCCGAATGGCCTCATGATTCTTAATATCATTCTGTGCTGTTGACTAAATGAAAAAGAACAACGTGTAAGACCCACAAGTAGAAGTTATTATTTACATAGAGTGACTCAGCTGTGCACGGGGCTAAAGTAAGTCACTGGGCAGCAGTGGGCCCTGGGACTGGCCCGGCAGGCCAGGACGCGTGGTCACCTGCCCTGAGTCACTGCTGGGCAGGCCAGGGCTCTGAAGAGCATGGGGTGAGCCTGGCCCTGGAGCAGTGACATTTACAGGAGAACTCGCAGGCGAGGTCTCCGTGAAGCAGGGCCCTGTGACGTGGCAGGAGCAGGCCCGTTATTTCCTAGAATCCCTCCCTCTGCCCTGGAGACCAGCATGCTCAGAAACTGTAAGCTGTCTGCTCCGACGAGCACTTTGTTCTTCGGCGTTTAGAGGTCAGTGGTGTCCGAAGGACAGGGCGACTTCCCCCGCACTCCCAGAGCTCTTACCTTTCTGACTGTGCAAACACGTGTTTTACAGATTTTTCTCCTTCCCTAACTCTTTCTTTTTTGCAGCCTTCCAATACCCACAGCTCAATTTATCTCAGTTGTTGAAGTCTTCCTGGGTCAGAACAGGTACGTTTGCCTTCCGGAATGCTTTGAGAACTGTGAGAATAAGAAGCCTGTGCAGGCCTCCTGAGCAAGAGACCGCCTTTCCTGTCTCCTACATTCAGGGCAAAATGTACCTTACATTCTTGGCAAAGAATGAATGAGAAAGGGATTCAGATTTGGCTGTGGAGATGGGCCCCACTGAGTTATGGCACAGAAAGCCCGGCTCTCCTTCACAGTCACGCATCAAGTCCAGGGCAGACTCTAACAGGAACTGACAGTTTTCCGACCCAGAACAGGATGAGGTTCAGAAGCCAGGTTCATTTTTTTTTTTCTAAAAGCATTATTTGTTTGGTTTTATAAAGACAAATAAGTAGCTTGGCAAGCAAATAGGAAGGTTTTTTGGTTTGGGGGGCCTGGGTCAGATTTTAGAGCCCAGGCATTGCACACAAAGGCTTTCTAACCTCCTATTGGAGAAAGTCTAACAGCTAGTTACCACTCACCAGGTGGCCAGTGAACCGGCAGCCCAGAGTCTATTCTTGGGGGAGGGAGCTGAGTAGGATAGTCTCAGAGTGCTGATATTTATGGAGTTCCCTTACCTTGCAAGTTCTCCTTGCATAACCTGCAGCATCCCATGGAACAGCCTCCCCCCCTTTGCATGGTGCATTGATCAGCCCCGTTTTTCAGGTAATTTTCATAGCAATTAAGTGACTCACCACTGTCCATGGTCTAACCTCAAAGGGACCCGAAACCAGTCCTGGCTGAGAAGCACGGGTGCTGTTTGCCCCAGACCTTGCTGACAAGCCAGCTGTCTGTTTAAAGCAGATGACCGAAGACAGGCTGGCAGATTTCTCAGGTTAGAGTCCAGGTCTTCAGACAAGATAGGAACTCAGACCATTTCCAGGAGTTCTGAGATAAGTACAGAGGGGTGACCTTGCGTGGGTGCTCCTTGCTCCAGAGTTCCTGCAGTGCTGAGTTTCGGGGCCTCCTGGCTGCCAGCCTGTGTAACACGTAGAACTGGGTGCTGGGTGCTGCCAACCAGACACGGTGCACCCCTTCCAGGCTCTCTTTCCCCTCGTTTGCTTTTGCTTTCCCCCCATTTTAATGTTGCCTCTCTAGGGATTGGCCTTGTGCAGGAATCCTGTGCTCATTCAGCACACACCACACATACACACACACACACACACACACACACACACACACACTTCCCCTTTTGCTCTCCACCGCTGACTCGTTCTGGGTGCCGCGTGTGTTTCCTTTCCGACGCAGTCCTCCTGGGGGTCGTGGAGAAGCAGCTGCAGAGCGAAGTGTTCCAGGCTGAGATGGAGCGCAAACTGGCCCAGCTGCTCAGTGAGGTTTCCACCAGGAGGCGGATGTGGAGAAGGGCCACCATCTCCGCGGGCAACAGCGTGGTGCAGGTACCTAGGAGGCTGAGAAGGAGGGGACGGAGAGAGAGGGAAGTCTAAAATCCTGCCCTGCTTTCATGCCAAAGGGAAATGCCATGAGAAAATTCAAATTTCCACTGATTGCTTTATTAAGTCCCAACTAAAGGCAGCAGCATTTTGGTTCACCTGGAGTTGAGACCAATATTTACCGGGTCCTTCGTGGTTGGTGTAGCGCTAGACCTGGGGGAGCATTGCAGAAGAATTGTCACACTGTCACAGCACCTCACTTCTCAGAGTAGTGTTTTAATTACCAGGAGGGTAGCGTGTTTGCCCGAATGGTAAGTATTATTGACGGCGTCATAGAGAGAAACCATTCAGCTGGAAGAGACCTCAGATCAGCGCTCCCCCGAGCATTCATCCTCTCCGCCTCCCAACAACCTGGCTAGGTTGTCTTGTATCACCTGAAATCCTCTTTACTTTGACAAATTGGCAGGCAGGTTACAAAGAGCAGATCTATTTGAATTGGAGAAGTGACCCAGTTTAAAATGCACATACAGAACGTTGGTGGTTAGAGCTGTTTATCGCCTGTGAATTGTGGGGATGTTTTTTTTTTTTCTTTACTAACTGCTGGCTTGTAAAGCTAGGAAAATGGGGTATTTAGAGCTTTGGCTTTTCAGACAGGAAACCAGGGTGGAGCTCTGAGGTGCAGGGTGTGGGACTGGCAGCAGGGTGGAGAGGTAGGTGGCAAAAAATGACATTGACATCAGTTGGGGAGGGCAGCCGTTTCTTCCAGGATTGGTGCCACAGTCTTCCAACTCTTTTCACCAGGCTTTTTCCTCTCAGCACAGTGCTTTGTCCTGTTCCCTAGAAATGTGGTTCTCTGGTTTCTAAGTTTGCTCATGTAGTACATTACAGAGAAGTTAAAAAGCTAATAAAGATTGGAGTTATTATTAAACAGATAAGTGTAAAACATAGAATAAAAATGGAAATGAATTATGAAAGCTTTGACCTGTTCAGTCCCTTGCTATGTCGATCTCAAGGTCTGGGTGCGGGTTAATCAATACACATCAAACAGCTGTGGAGCACCATGACCGTGAGTAATAACATGCTCAATTAGGTACACATGCTCCTTAAGGCAGGAATATTGCACTTAAGAAAGTTAATCAAGTGACCTGACACTCCCAGCGCATCTGACAGATCGCTTGTAAACCATATGAGGGCGACCAAATGTGAACATGTAGACAAGCTTGTATACAGCAGCATGGGGCTTTGCATTGAGATTTAATTTGTAAAAGCAGAGCTGTCAAAACAACCTAAATGTTCAGCAATTGGGGAATAATGAATAGGTTATGATAGATCTTTATATATGGGAATATTATGTAGCTATTATTTATTTTTGCTACAGAGCACATGTGCTTGCCAGAGACAGAGAGAGTGAGAGAGAGAGAAAGTGAGAAATCAGTCCCCACCCCAGGGGGTTGGCCATGCCATAGTCCCTTCTTCATTCTCCTCTTGGGATCTTAGGCACGCATGCACTTGTGTCCAGTATGATTGAGAATCGCACTGCCAAGTCTAAGACTCGAACTGCAGAGGCAGCCATGTGGGAGCTGGTGCTTTAACCTCAATGCCATCTGCTGGCTCCCATCTTTTTATTTCTTTTAAATTTCATGAATGATAGAATGTTCAAGGTAAAGAGGGGCTACAAAAAGATGTACGCAATATAATGCACGTGATAATACAAAATTTGTGGGGAAAGAAATACACCAAAATGTTTATAGTGATTTTCTTTGGTTGGTTGAATTTCAGGTGGTTTTCACTTTATTCTTAATATTTTTTTGGCATGTGTTTTTCAAAATTTCTCCAGTGGGCCATATAATTTATGTGGCAAATATGCATTTTTAGTCATAAAATAATTTTTTTGGTTGTTTTGAGAGACAGAGAGACAGAAAGTGAGAAATCACACCCCCGGTGGTGATGGCCATGCCATAATCCTTTCTCCTCCATTCTCCTCTTGGGATCTTGGACACACACAAACATGTGCATGGCATAAGTTTTAAGCCACTGGGTCCAGGACTCGAACTGTGGTTGACTACATAGGAGTTCAGTGACATAACCATCACGCCATCTGCTGGTCCCCATAAGATAATTTTAAAAATAAAATAAAAAATGTTACCTAGAGTGACGACTCCATGATGCACACCATGATGAGATGGGTACCAGGTAAAACTGTAGTTAAGAGTCACTCAGAAAAAATGCTGGTGTGGAGAACAGCAGTTAGTGTAATGGCTATGTCATGGGACTCCCATGTAGTTGACCTCGGTTTGAGTCCCGGGCCTGGTGGCTTAATCTCAAACTGGGTGCATGTGTGTATGTGCCCAAGATCCCAAGAGGAGAATGGAGAAGGGATTGCGGTGTGGCCATCTCCCCTGGGGGGTGATTTCTCACTTTCTGTCTCTGTCTCTTTCTGTCTTTCTGGCAAGCACACACACCGTATGGCAAAAACCTCTCCAAAAAAAAAAGAAAGAAAGAAAGGATGCTGAAGTGAGTGCCACTTCTGGAACCTTTCATCAAGATGGGTACCCCCAGATATTTGGGATTACCATTTCTGCAAGAAGAAACCATACTCATAAAGTTTATCAGGAATGTTCAGTGGAATAAACAGGCACATAGGCAGAGGGGCAAGTGGACATAAGCTGGTACTGTTCAGTAGCCCTTTGATGGTATTCTATTCTAAGGCTAATAATGATGGATTGTGGGGGCCGGCAGGTGGCATAATAGTTAAGGCGCTGGCCTCCCACATGCCAAGCATGGTTCAAGTCCCAGACCTAACAGCTTGAAGATCCGGTGGGGCACCTGTGTATGTGTGCCCAAAATCCCAGGAGGAGAATGAAGAAGAAGGGGTTGTGGTGCGGCCATCCCCCCAGGGGATGATTTCTCATTTTCCCTTTAATTGTCTCTCTCTGGTGAGTGCATGCATCTAATGGCAGAAACCTTAAGAAACAAGCAAACTTACAAAAACAACCTGATCACTACAGCACATTGCAGGGTGAGGAAATAGTGACTAGGGACCCAAAGTGGCCAGGAAATTGGCCTCAAAACAGCGAGCCAAGGGCGAGAGAGAGGAGCCCTTCTCAGGATGAAGCATAATGAGCACATTCCTGAGGGGTAAGAGACTGGACCCGGGCGGTGAAGGTGTTCACAGCGAAATCAGGAAATGGTTGATTTGCCCAGAGTTTCCCGGGTGCAGGAGGAGCCCAGCAGCTGTGTCCAGGTGTAGGCGGGCTCACACCCACACAGCTGCATGCCGCAGTGGCAAAGGGAGAGGTCAAACTTCCAACCGTGCGGGAGACGTCAAGGACTCGAGTCACTGTCAGTCCTTTTTCCGGGACATCACCCAGTGCTTTGCTGGAGTCTAGAGGGACAGTAAAGTGGCTGCATATTAGGAGAAATGGCAGTTGGATAAAAAGCGTCAGGCGTGTAGAGCTGCGATCTGCCAAGTGCACCAGGTGCTGAAGTGCTGCGGTGAAGGGGCTGCCCCTAACACCAGAGAAGAGATCACATGTTGGGATAAATTAAAGCATAATTTGATCCACAAGATTCATTTCTGGGGTTTATTGTCCATAGGCCAGCGGTTCTCAGTGGGGAGGAGGTGATTTTACCTCCCGAGGGCACGATTGGCAACGTCTGGAGACATTTTTGGTTGTCACATTGGGCAGCCTGGGGAGGGGGCAGTTGCTACTGGTGCATAGTGGTAGAGGCAGGGAAGCTGCTGACCGTCCTGCAATGCACAGGACAGCCCCACCTCCCACACCCCCACAAAGAACTGTCTGGACCCCGATGTCATTAGTGCTGAAGTTGAGCCCTGCTCTGGAAGCTTGAGGAGGAAGCGCTAATAGACTCAGCAGGGATTGGTAGAACCATGAGCAGTTTCAGAAATCTCAGCAGATATCTAAGCCCCGTTAGGGTTGATGTGACAGTAACGACAGCGTCCCATGACGCAGGCATGTCGGGAGCACGGTAGACTGCCTGCTCTCGCCAGTCCTGTGTTCTGTGCGTGCTGCGTGCCCCTTCACCTCAGAGATGTCGAGGGAGACAGCACGCTTGTCATTTCGTGTGGAGGAGCTCCCATCTTAACTGCCCCTCTCCTCATCGAGAGAGCTCCGTGGTGGTTCTGGGACCCCGGGTGGTGTAAGGAGCTTCATGTGACAATTGCGGTGACGCCTGAGCAGCAGTGAAGGTGGAACAACCCCAGGGACGGCGCCTGAGAAGCTGAGCTTTATGCCGGTGGTCCCCTTTCTCTTTCAGGTGGTGAATGTGTCGCGGCTGGAGGGCGATGACAATCCGGTGCAGCTCATCTACTTTGTGGAGGATCAAGACGGAGAGCGACTCAGCGCGGCCAAGTCCTCCGATCTGATTAACAGGATCGATCTCCAGAGAGCAGCCATCATCCTGGGTTACCGCATCCAGGGCGCCATTGCCCAGCGTGAGTCTTGAGCTGTCGTCGCCTGTGCCTCTAGGGCCCACAGCCACCGCGTTCCGACAGTGAGCTCCGAGTGTGAAGCAGTCTTAGGAGCGTTCAGTCGACACATGCCTTACATTCTCATTAGGAAGTGGCACGTACACGCAGGGTCTTCAAAATGCTCATGGACGATGAGTATTATGCAAAAACTGCCTAGGTTTGAAAATGACTTGCACCAAAATAAATTCGTTCCTGAAGTCTCTTTCCACATAGGTTTCAAAGTCCTCTTGTGTAAGACACCAGTCGTTAAAATTCATTTGCCAAGGCCTTCCTTTGTGTGGATTTTAGTTGCTTGTCATTGTAACCTCTGCTGCTGGTTTTTTTTCTTCCATTTCGTAGTTGCAGTATTACAGTGAGTTATCATTCTTTACCTCAACTTTAATATCTCTGCCCCTTCTTTTGCAAAGTTTTAAAAAATTTTCTATTAAGGAAATGTGCTTTCTCTGTGTTTATATTTATTCTGAAATCTTCCATGTCGCATTTTGAGCACCGACGGGGACAGTGAGTCACGCAGGAAGCTGGGAGGTGCCCCGGGATTTATTGGCCTCCTTTGGTTCTTTTAACACAAAGACGTCCTTGATGCTTACCCTTTTCAGCCCTGTGTCTCGCCCACCCTGCCCTCACACCACTCACGATTCGGAAAGAGCTTTTTGGTGCCTCTTTGTTATTGTTGGAAGGTCCTTGACCCCTGCCCTGGCGCTGGCTGCTCTCTGTCCTTCGGCCACTCAGGGTGGGGGTGTTAAACTCAGGAAAGATTGCAGTTCAGGACACCTTCGTGAATCACACTGCCAGTTTTAAAGCGCCTTTCTTTCTTCTGAGGCATTTGTGTGTGTGTACATATGTATGTGTGTATGTATGTATTATGTGTATGTGTGTGGGTATGTATGTGTGTGCATGTGTATGTGTATTATGTGTGGTGTACATGTGTACATGTGGGTATGTATGTGTGGGTGGGTATGTACATATGTACATATGTGTGAGTGTGTACGGGTCTATATGTGTGTGGACGTGTACATATGTATGAGTGGATGTGTACGTATGTATATGTGTGTGGGTGTGTGCGTATGTACGTGGTGGGTGTATATGTATATGTGTGTGGGGTAACACACCCACACACACATGCACACATGTGGCTGTGTATGTATGTGTGGGTGGGTGTGTATGTATGCATATGTGTGTGGGTATGTGTGCATGTGTGCATGTGTGGATATGTATGTGTGTATGTGTGTAGGGGGGTATGTACTTATGTGTATGTATGTGTGTGGGTTATGTGTGGGTATGTACATGTGTGTACGTGTGGGGGCATGTACGTATGTGCATGTGGGGTATGTACATGCATGTATGTGTGTTCATGTGTGCGTGTGGGTATGTATGTATGTGTGTGTACATGTAGGGAGAGAGGGAAAGATAGAGAGGGAAGGAGGCTGGGCAGGATCCTCATGCCAGTCTCGGCCAGCCCAGATCGTGGGCACACATGTGTGCCTGGTGTGTACAGGGTGTGAACCCAGGACCTGCCCACATGGCTCTGGCTGTGCTACTGCAGTGCCATCACACAGCCCCAGACTGCTTTTTTAACCCAGATGTATTTCCTGTATGACAGAACAGCCCTTGGAAGAGCACAGCAAAACGTGCCCCAGGGAACCAGCAGATGGCGTGATGGTTAGGTCTCTGGACCCCCATGGAGTCGACTGTGATTCGAGTCCCAGACCCAGCAGCTTGAAATTCACGCTGGGCGTGTGGGGACGCATGCCCAAAATCCCAAAAGGAGAATGGAGAAGGGATTGCAGCATGGCCACTCCCCCAGGGGTGATGTCTCGCTTTCTGTCTCTCTCTGTCTCTTTGGCAAGCACAGGCACCCTATAGCTAAAAAAAAAACAAAAATGAAACTCTTTTTTAAAAATAAAAAGTGTCCCAAACTAAGTAAGTGTCTGGAAGAAAATCCACGGCAGAGAATAGAGAAAAGCTCTTTACAGAGAACATGTAGTAGACAAAGGCAGTTTATTAAAAGTGACAACTTTGAAACTGTCCTCAGGAGAGACAGGTTCTTTGTGAAGTCTTTACATGTCCCTGGAGACTAACCAAAAAGCCTAGAGCCGATGGGTGCACCTGCTCCACCCCGTGGAAGATGATGGGAGAGTTTGTGTCCGCGGGCTTGAGATACGAGTGTGTTCTGTCTCACGGCAGTGAGAGGAATGACAGAAGCACCTCCTCGCATTTCTTCACGCAGGACATTTCTTCATGAGGGAGAGGTACCCCGCTCCAGCTAAGCACTCGTTTTGAAGAGGTTCATTGCTGTAGGATTTGGATTTGGGCTCCTGGCAAGCCTACTTCCACCTGGTCTTGTACTCTGTCGTTTCAAACTAAAACCCACATGTGCAACAATCCCGGAATTCCAGAATTGGTGGTAAAAGGAAGCCTTGCCAATACTCAGTCTGCCCAGAGGTAGCCTCGAGGACACCAGTGTCAGTGGCCCCACGTGACCAGTCTCTGCCTTGTGCCGGGTGTTACTAGGTTACACTAAGAAGATTGTATACCAAACAGGCACCATCATACAGATTCAGTTCACATGTGTGAAAACAGAACTTTAGGGCCAGTCGCACGGTACTGTGGTTAAAGTGGCTAGACACCGGGCGGTTCGAGTCCCAGACCGAGGGCTTAGAAACACCCTGTGCGTCGGGGGCCAGCAGGTGGTGTAGCTGTGGTGTCGCTGGACTCTCTGTGGGCGTGGCCAACCAGTTTGAGTCCTGGACCTGGTGGCTCGAATCTCATGCTGGGTGTGTGCGCATGAGTGCCCAAGATCCCAGGAGGAGAATGGATTGCTGTGTGGCCATTCACCCTGGTGGGTGATTTCTCACTTTCCCTCTCACTGTCTCTGTCCTTGCCCCGCACCCCCTCTTTACCCCCCGCTTTCCCTCCCTGAGGCAAAAACCTCTAAACAACAACAAACACTGGAAGAGGCAGAGGGGAGGGATGTGGTGTGGGCATCCCCCTCTGGAGGGTTTTCTCACTTGCCGGCTCTCTCTGTTTCTCACCGGTGAACACGTACACCCTAGAGCAAAAACCAAAGCCACGCCAGACTCTGTCACTGTCCCCACATCATGCTCAGTCTCCGCCGTCATTTGTGCTTTCTCCGTGGTGTGTGGCTAGAAGGCTTGCTCGGAACCCGCACTTACGCCGGCCCCACGATCTTTCTCCCACATCCACAGCAGGTCATGAAGGAGCGTGAGACCCAGTCCCTGCCGTGCCGGCTCAGACGGTTTGAAAAGACAGGACTGGGCATCATGACCAGATGGATGAGCAGAGTGGTGTCGTTCATCCAGATGACGCGGTCGTGTCATACGTGGCCCGTTAGAATAATAAGGCACTGTTTGCAAGACGAGACCACAGGGACACTCTACCTTGGACAAATGAGAAATGAGTGCTGTCGTGGGGAGGTTTATGGGGTCTTGGGAGGAGCTGAGTTCTTGGAGAGAAGCAGCATAGGATGCAGGGGAAGGAGGGCCCAGTCCCAGGAGCCAGGCAGGGCAAGGAGCTGGTGTCGGGGGCTAAGAGGGACAGAGACGCTGAAGCAAAATCATTTACGGTGTGAAAAATGGGGGGACTGCGGCAGGGGTAAGGGAAGCTGTCAATAGAGGTGAGGAGAGGAGGATTCAAACTGAGTGAGACTTGCTTTCATGACTATAATTTAGAGACCAACGACTGCTTACATAAAGCAATTTCAATTAAAAGCCACATTTCAAGTGTTTAGGGAGGGACATGGATGGGGAACTGGATGAAGGCATTGCCAGTAGCCTGCTTGCTAGGACTTCAGTTTCCAAGTCAACATAGCAAAACTTTGTTTAGAAAAGCATTTTTTAAAATAATTGTTTATTTAATTTATTAATTATTATTATTTGACTCATCAGAGAGAAGCAGAGAGAGAGCAGCCGTCAGGTCTGTGGCTCGAACCGCAGTCGGCCATGTGGGAGTCCAGTGCCTTACCTACCATGTCACCTGCTGGCCCCATTTAGAAAACCTTAAGGATCATCTTTATCATATTTTTTTGCAGTAAATGTACAATACATACAATTTTTGAATTTTAACCATTTTCAAGTCCAGTGGCTTTCAGTCTAGTCAGCATGTTGTGTAACATCACCATCTCTGCTTCCAGGACTTTTTCATCATTGCAAATAGAAACTCTATGCCTGTTAAACACGCACACCTCGTGTTCCTTTCCCCCAGCCCTGGCAACTGCTTCTAGGAATTTGCCTATTCTAGGTAGCTCATAGGAGTAAAATCATGATATATTTATCCTTTTGTGTCTGGCTTATTTCACTTAGCAAATGTTTCAAGGCTGCTCTGTGTTGTAACATGTATCAGAATTTCTTTCCTTTTTAAAGTGACTGATACTCTGTTTTATGTAAGTGCTGCACTTTATTTGTTTATTCATTCACCTCTCTCTCTCTCTCTCTCTCTCTTTCTCTCTCTCTCTCTCTCTTTCTTTCTTTTTTTTCCTGTTTGCTAGAGGGCACATGCACTTGTAGAGAGATGAGAGACAGAGAGAGAGAGAAGGAAAATGAGAAATCACCTCCTAGGAGGATGGCCACGCTTCAGTCCCTTCTCCATTTTTATCTTAGGAGTTTGAGCATGTTTGCATATGTGCCCAGCATGATTTTCAAGCCGCTGGGTCTGGGACTCGAGCCGTGTAGTCGGCTATGTTGGATACAGCCACCTTAACTTCCACGCCTCCTGCTGGCCTGATCCAGGGGCACCTGGGTCATTTCCACCTTTTGTCTATTTGAATACTGCATCACCGTCATCATCACTGCTCGGTTCTGATGTGGAAGGAACCTGTTGCATCGGTGCTCATGCTGTTCTGCTCTGTTCTGCTCTGTGTCGCACTAGTACTGTAGGAAATTATTGAGTAATTTCATGTACTGGATAACGTTCCCTCCCTTTCACTAGCACTTCAGCTGTTTGAGGGACTTTGTCAGCTTGTTCATCGTTGCGTCCAACTTTAGAACTGCGTCTGGCACATGTTTGCCAAGTGGAGAAACTTTGAGCAGTGAGGGAGGGGGAAGGGCTTCTGTGTCCAAACTCCCGGGTCAGACTTGTGCGCTCCTGCGATCCGGGGCTGTGACTTCCTGCCACACTTGCCACAGTGTTCTGGAAATGTAGCTGCTTTTCTCTCCACTTAAAAATAAAACTTTCTGGGACTAGCAGTTGGCATAATGGTTACGTTGCTGGACTCCCATGTAGTTGACCACGGTTTGAGTCCTGGACTGGGTGGCTTAAATTCACACCAGGCGCATGTGTGCGTGTGCCCAAGATCCTGAGAGGAGAATGGAGGAGAAGGGATTGCAGCTTGGCCATTCCCTCAGGGGGTGATTTCTCGCTTTCTGTCTCTCTGTCTCTCTCTGTCTCTCTGGTGAATATACGCACCCTATAGCAAAAATCTCTCTCTCTTAAGAATATTTCCATATGGCATGTGCACTCACTGGGGCAGGGAGATGAGAAGGCACCACCATGGGGAATGGTGACACAGAACTCCCTTCTTCATTTCTCCCTCCTCTCAAGATTGTGGGCATGGATGCATGCAGCACACTGGCGTGTTTTTCAAGCCACCGGGTCCAAGACTCAAACTGCATGGTCAGCCATGTGGGATCCAGCTGCCTTGCTTACAGGCCATGGGCCAGACCTCCCCGTGCTTTTGAAGAGACTCGTCCATGTACAGTGGTCAGCGTCGTCTTCGGTACCGACACTCCTGTAGTGAGAATTTAGGGATGAGCTAATGCGATAACGTGTAAGTCAGAAAACTCACAATTAGCCTGGCTTTGCCATTAAATCAGCTGTGTGGGTTTAGATATGTCACCGTTGCCATCATGACCCCTACTGTGTTCTGCAGGGAGCAGTCTATGTTGTGTGTGTGCCTGACACGATTCTCGTCATCAGATCATAACCTGTAACTAGTCATCTTGAGTTAAAATGAGACTTACTGAGTTTCTCACAGAAGAAGGCATACTCAGACCCATTAATGAGTTCAGAAGAAACGACTGAAGCTCTTTCTTGTCTACAGCCGTGGACAGGGTGAAGAGGCCATCCCCAGATTCCCAGAGCAACAACTTGTGGGTCATTGTCGGCGTGGTGATCCCAGTGCTGGTGGTGATGGTCATTGTCGTCATCCTCTACTGGAAACTCTGCCGCACAGACAAGCTGGACTTCCAGCCCGACACGGTGGCCAACATTCAGCAGCGTCAGAAGGTAGGCATGCCCTCTGTGTTCACAAAAGCAGTGTTGCGGGGCTGGGAGGGGCCGAGTCCAGGCTGTCAGTCCTGCTGGAAGGGAAGAGCTGTGAGGGGAGTGCTCCTCGGCCTCGTGTCTGCTTACCGAAACCCAGTTCTCAGCAGTACATGTCGTCCGAGAGCGTGACGCTGCATAAAGACTTCACTACGGTGTGAGCTCTGGGTTCTACTGGGATGTTATTTTTGGAAAAGCACATCCATGCTGTGCATGGATCCTGATCTGTGTTTACCCAGGGTATTTTTAGAAAACAGGGACCAAGGGAGGTTTTCTCGGATCTGGTCTTTCTTATCCATAGCCCCCCCGCATGGTTCTTTATTTTCTATCTGCTATAGTGGAAGCCCACTTGCCACCTTGATCAGCAACACTTAATCATTAAAAAACGTAATCCCTGCCTTAAACATTTTAACTTAAAATAGATGAATGGCCATTTATTTGATGGTCATTTGATGCATCCTGGCTTTATTTATTTTTAATTTAACCAGAGAGGGACATAGCAAGAGAGAGAGAGAGAAAGCAAGCCACCAGGTCTGGGACTCGAACTGCTGTCGACCATGTGAGAATCCAGCGTCCCTAACCATTATGCCACCTGCCGACCCTTATCTCGTCTTTTTTATCCCTTTGAGTGTTGCTCTCCTGAGAGGAACCCCAGATGGCCTATCTTGCAGGAAACAACTACAATGCGTCTGCTGCAGCTTTCAGTTTGGATTTCTTTAGGAAAGACCCAGCAACCTGAGTACAAGAGTCTCTTGATTTTTCTCAGTACCTCCCTCCACCTCTCCCTGCTCCGCAGTCTCAGAGTTAATTTGTCGTCACCGTATTTGACAGCACTTTTTTTTTTAAGCAGTCCATTCTTCTTGTGTCTCTCCAGAGCACTCGGCTCAGCTTTCACAGAAACGGCAGTCCTCTTTTCACACGTGTACAGCTCCTATTGGGTCACTGGGAAAGTAAGAACACAAAAACGTGTCATGGCTTTCCTGACAACCTAAAATTATATCCGATTGTCACTTCAGGCTTCAGAGCAAAGACATTGACCGTTCGGCACGTAGCTTACCTGATGTGAGCAAAAACATGCCTGAGTCCTAGAGCAGAGCTCCCTGGCTGCAGAGAGTCCGTGCAGCATGGCTGTTAGGCAGTGTTTACCAGGGGAGCGGAAAGCGGCAGTCGGTCCACTCTGCTTATTAACACGAACCCTTGGGCTGCCCACGTAGTCTGGTAGTTAAGGATCCCATGTAGCTGACCACATAGTTTAAATCCCAGATCTGGTAGCTTGAAACACATGCCCAGGGGACCAGCAGGTGACATGGTGGTTAAGGTGCTGGACTCCCGCGTGGCTGACTGCGATTCAAGTCCTGGACCTGGCGACTTGCTTTCTCACTTTCCCTCTCTCTCTGTCTCTCTCTGGTGCCTATAGCAAATTAAAAAATAATAATAATAAATAAAATTAAATAATTATTTTGAAAAGAGAGAAAGACAGACAGATAGACATGCCAAATGTGTGCACAGGCATGCCCAAAACCCTGACAGGGTGGAGAAATGGAGGAGATGGGATTGTGGCATGACCACCCCCTCTTTGGGAGTGTGTTCTCTTTCTCCCTCTGTTTCTCTCTGTCTTTTTCTCCGTATCTCTCTGGCAAACACACATGTCCTCTGGCAATTAAAAAAAAATAAAAAATAACAAGTAAAAATAAAAATCAGATACCTGCTATATGTCTTACAAAATTTTTTATTTTTATTTTTTAATTTAAATGTATTTATTTACATTCACTCACTATACATCATTACAGCATACAAAATGAGATTTCCCATTCAGAATACACTGTATATTGGCTCAATCAAGCACATCAATATGCGTGTTATTGTCAACAAATAGTTTTCCATTTCCTGTTTCCTGTATATTTTGCTTTTTGTTTTTTTGCTATCCTTGATTCCCTATCTCTCACCCTCTGTCATGTCCCACCCTCCTCGCACACTGTCTCTGGTATCCGTGGTTGCTTTCTCTGCCTTTTCCCCCCATTTTGCTTATTTGCTAATGAACTTAATTAATTTAAAGTTTATGCCTAAAGTCAGGCTTGTGTTCATGGATATGTATATATCAGCTGTGCTTGCTATGGGAAATATTTAGATTAATTTTGTCTTATAAATATAGAGGACTCACTCTGAAAGTTTGATGAGAGCAAGCAAGCAAAAAGCCAAAGAAAAAAGAACAGAGGATTGCCCTATTATTAACCTTTTTATTTTATGCTGACTATGGCAAAAACATTTCTGCATGGGACCAGCAGTTAGCGTAATGGCTATGGCGCTGGACTGTCACGTAGTGGACCGCAGTTCTAGACCCAGACCTGGTGGCTTAAACTCACGCCGGGCGCGTGTGCGTGCGTGCCCAGGATCCCGAGAGGAGAATGGAGGAGAAGGGATTGCAGCGTGGCCATCCCCTCTGGGGGGGGGGGCGGGGGGATTTCCTGCTTTCTGTCTTTCTGTCTCTGTCTGGCAAGCGCACACGCCCTATAGCAAAAACCTCTCAAAAAAAAAAAATTTCTGCATTTAACAAACTTAGACCTGCTGAGTAAAAGAAAAAATATGTTATTTTTGAATTATTTCACTTTTGTAAAAGTAAATGAGTATTATTTTTTTTCTTATGAGTTAACCAAAAAATGCGAAATCTTGATTGAATATAAGTCTATGGTAATCAGAATCATAGAAGCATTTTATACATTAATAATATATTTATTACCTAATGTAATTTATTCTTTACATAGTCTACTAAGGTTGGCTGACGGTTATCAGTATCGTAGAAGCATTTTATACATTAATAGTATATTTATTACCTAATGTCATTTATTATTTACATAGTCTACTAAGGTTGGCTGGTTGTTATGCCAGTGAGTGGCATGGAAAACACCTGGAAAAAAGTCCGCTGAGATGCTAAATGATTCATCGTGTGATTGTCATAATACGATGAATAATAGGTTTGGAAATGTTTTTGTTCTGGTGAAAGCGTTTTGTCACAGAGAGATTTAACCAGTGCAGATGGTTATATATTTAGTTTTTTTTTTTTTTTTATGTTCTGTATGTACGAACATAAACATTCCTTGTGGAGGTTCATGTGTTATCTGTTACTTCAGTAAACTACCAAAGGATAGCAACTCTTGGGTTCAAAGTAAGATATTCCCCAAGCTTCGTCCTTCTCTCCCTTTTATTTTGCAAGTATTTTTGTGTCCCTGATGACTGTAAGTCAAATGGACTGAGTTTCAAAGAGAACCTCCAGCTGTGTGGGTTGCTCCTCTTCCAGTGCTCAAGGATGTGTGTACATTTCTAGCAAGTGTGTAGG